TGGAATCAAGAACTGTGGAAGGCAAGGGGGGTGGGGTTATGACAGTCATAGTCACAGTGAGACGGGCCTTGAAGGAGGCAAGGGAAGGGGAGGTGAAGGGATTCTAGGATGGAGTTCCAGAGGGTGTGTCAGAAAGGCTGAAGGCCTGATCGCCGATGGTGGGGCGGCAGGGCGGGGGACATTCAGCAGGCCAGTGTCAACCTGACTCAGTCAGTAGCACTCACACTTCTGAGTCACAAGAATGTGGGTTCAATCCGTTGCCAGGACTTTGAACTCACCCGTCTAGGCTGATACTCCAGTGCAGTGCTAGTGTAACACTGCTCATTGAAGCCACCGTCTTTTAGACGAAATGTTAATCTGAGGTCCCATCTGTGCAGGTTCTGGTGGACATTAAAGATCCTGTGGTAAGAATCTGTGGAAAAAAGAAGAGAGTTTCTCCCTGCGTCCTGGCTGACAATCCTCCAGTTAAAATTCATCGCTCTCTTAATGGCTATTTTTGTGTCTTTGCTGTGTCTTTGCTATTTTTTTGTGTCAAATCAGCTGCTGCGTTCACTTACAGAACTTGCTTTCAATGGCAAGCAATGTGGTTTTAGCTGCTTACACTCCAGCTGTGTCCCAATAAATAGAATAAGTCCGGATGTTTTTTACTCCCTAGCAATTGCTTTATTTAATATACTGCAAAACATTCGTTATTGCATCAAAAACACCAATATCAAATACAGGAATTATTTTATTTATTTTGCATTTGAAACTTCCAGGGATACACAACCAGCATCTAGGAGCTGTTTTCATCAGTAGACGTCGGTGTCTGCTCTCCATGATCAATGATAATGTCAATAAATAAATAAGTTGGGTAAATCTTTGAATTTTGATATAGCGTCTTTCACATAGGGAGAACAACTCAAAATACCTCACAGAATACATTATAGACTCCTGTAGCTCAGTGGTAAGAGCAATCGCTTCGCAAGCGAGAGAGCTGGGTTTGATTCCCAGCAGGGCAAAACCTTGGGCAAGTTTCCTTACTCCACACCCCCGATAATAATCCCTCAAGAAAAAAAAGACAATAATAAAAAATTAGTCACTTCAATTTACGATTGTTTGTGGGATACTGCTGTGTGCAATTGGCTTCCGTGTTTCGCTCACAAATATACAGTCAATTCACTTTACAGTATATTTTGTGAAGCGCTTGAGGACGTCTAGAAGATGTGAAAAGCGCTATATCAAATGCAAGGATTATTATTATTTATTACTATCATGAATACATCGTCCATGCTTACGGTCACCTCCCCGCTTCCCCCACCTTGGCGTAGTGCTCCACCACTGTCAAGCACTTTGGGACGCTAACCTGCATTAAGGGGCTCTCTCGAGTCCTGTAGCTCAGTGGTTAGAGCACTCGCCTCGCAAGTGAGAGACCTTGGTTTCGATTCCCGGCAGGGAGAAACGTTGGACAAGTTTCCTTACTCCACATGCCTTTGTTTACCTAGCAGTAAGTAGGAACCCGGTCGATTGGCGGATTGCCTTCTGGGAATAATAATTCCTTCAAAAAAACAATAAATTGGTCACTCAATCCACGACTGTTTGTGGGACGCTGCTGCACGCAATTGGCTGCCGGGTTTAGCCCCCAAAATATACAATTCACTTTACAGTATATTCTGTGAAGCGCTTTAAGATGTCTCGAAGATGTGATAAGGCGCTATATGCAAGGATTATTATATAAATGTAAATTGCTGTTGTTGAAGTGTAATGGCTGTGTATTTGTGGCTGAATGCAGCAACTAATCAACAACAACAACAACAACAAAATTACATTTATAGAGCGCCTTTCATGTCAGGAGGATGTCCCAAAGCGCTGAACACTCAGGTGTCGGGGCCCGAGCATGGGGGAGGGATGCTGTAGGGGTGAGGGAAGGCAGAGAGGTGGGAGGGAGACCAAAGACACGATCGAAGAGAAAGGTCTTGAGACTGGCCTTGAAGGAGGCAAAGGAGGAAGCGAGGCAACGAGACCGTGGAATGGGGTTCCAGAGTATGAGGGCAGAGAGGCTGAAAGCCCGACCACCGATGGTAGGGCGGGTCGGGCGGGAGACATGGAGACGGCCGGAGCCTGCTGAACGGAGGGAGCGGGCAGGTTGGTAGTGTAGGGACCCGGTTGTTAGTTAATTGGCGGATTGTCTTTCTGGGAATAACTCCCGTTCACAAGTCAGAGAGGTAGGAGGGGTTAAAGCCATGGACCGTCTTAAAGGTGAAGACGAGGATCTTGAACTCGATCCTCTGGAGGATGGGGAGCCAGTAGAGTTGGGCGAGGGTGGAAGTGATGGGGTCGAGGAGCCTGGTGCGTCAGAGTACACGAGCTGCAGAGTTTTGGATGATCTGCAGCTTGTGAAGGGAAGAGTTGGGAAGGCCGATGAGGAGGCAGTTCCCATAGCCTTGAGGTGATGAATGCATGGGTGAGGGTTTTGGCAGCCTGAGGGGTGAGGCAGTGGTGGAGTCTGTCAATATTGCGGAGGTGGTGGTAGGCAGTGCCGGTCATGGCGCGGATGTGGGGGAGAAAGGACAGTTTAGGGTCAAACAAGATACCCAGGTTCCTGACTGGCTTAGTGAGGTTGAGTGTGCAGCCATGGAGGCTGATACTGCCAGCACCTGAGGTGTGGAGGCGCTGGCACGAGACAATCAGGAGGGCCTCAGTCTTGCTGATGTTGAGTTGGAGAAAGTTGGCCCTCATCCAGGACTTGATGTCGGACAGGCAGTCGGTCAGGACGCCAGTAGTCCTGGAGTTCAGGGTGGAGGCAGAGAGGTAGAGTTGGGTGTCATCCGCATACATGTGGAAATTTACCCCATGTCCATGGATGACATCACCAAGGGGGAGCATGTAGAGAGTGAAGAGGAGGGGACCGAGGATAGAGCCCTGAGGAACCCTGCATGAGACAGTGCGGGGGCTGGAGGAGAAGTCGTTTGCTGCGACAAAGTGGAGACAGTTTGAAAGGTAACACCTGAACGAGACAAGCACAAAATCTTGAAGGTTGAGGTGGGAGGAGAGGCGGTGGAGGAGGATTGAGTAGTCCACGGTGTCAAAGGCGGCAGAGAGGTCAAAGAGGTCAGGATGTCGTTTGTGACCTTGACCAGAGCAGTTTCCGTGCTGTGGGCAGCACAGAATCCCGATTGGAGGGGTTCATGGAGGGAGTGAGAGGAGAGGAAAGAGCGAAGCTGGGAGGCAACGGCTCTAATAATAATAATAATCCTTGCATTTGATATAGCGCTTTTCACGTCGGGAGGACGTCCCAAAGCGCTTCACAGAATATACTGTAAAGTGAATTGACTGTATATTTGTGGGCGAACGCGGCAGCCAATTGCGCACAGCAATGTCCCACAAACAGTCGTAGATTGAAAATGACCAATTTATTATTGTTTTGGGTTTTTTGGAGGGATTATTATTAGGCTCTGTGTGGAGTAAGGAAACTTGCCCAAGGTTTCGCCCTGCCTGGAATTGAACCCAGGTGTCTTGCTTGCAAAGCAAGTGCTCTAACCACTGAGCTACAGGACTCTCTCAAGGACCTTGGATAGGAAGTGGAGATTTGAGATGGGCCGGTAGCTAGATAGCTGTGATAGGTCAAGGGAAGGTTTCTTCAAGGTGGGGGTGATAGTGGCTGTTTTGAGCGGAGGGAAGGAACAGTGCCAGATGACATGGAGAGGTTAATGATGTCGGTGAGTAGTGGGGCAAGGAGGTGGAGCTGGGATTTAAGGAGAGGGGTAGGGATGGGTTCGAGGGAGCAGGTGGTGGACTTCATGGAGGTTACCGTGTTGAAGACAGAGGAGGGGGTGACAGGTTCAAAGGTAATTTCCCACAAACAGCCATGAAATGAGTGACCAATTTTGTCTGGAAGATTGTCAGTCAAGACACTGGGATGTTTAACATCCACTTGAACAGGCACAGGCGAGATCGGGGTTTAATGTCTCTTCTGAAAGATGGCACCTCCGACAATGTAGCACTTTTCCCACATAACGCTCAGTTTCGATATATGAGTTCCAAGTCCCAGGGTGGAGCTCTGACTCAGAGGCGAGAATGTTACCAACTCTACTAGAAGAGCTTTACGACACAGAGAGTGTCATCTCTGTGTGTTTCGTAGGCAAACTCGTGCAATGACCAGCAGGAGACCATCCCCAGAGAGCACAGGTCAGATTATGAACAGAACATATTGACGTATGAATCAGTCGGGGGTCGGGAACAGTACTCCAGCTGATCATGAGTAAGGCATGGGAAAGGGTTGATGTGTTTAGGAAAAGGAATCTGAAACACGTGTTTAAAATGGTTTGACAATAAACAGAACACTTTTGTTATTTGACTGGAAAGAGTTTGGGGTTTTCTGTTATTATTAATGATCCATATATCCTTTATTTCATCAACATGGATAAATACTTGCAGAAAATAGTTTCTAAGGGGATGGGGGAAATGTCTATGCTGGCTCTCCAGTGCAGGCTGGATGGAGAATGCTGTGTTGTCGGAGATGCCATCTTTTGAGTAAGACTGAGGTCCTGTCTATCTGTTCAAGTGGAAATTAAAAGTCTTGTAGTGCTATTAAAACAAAAGGGAGATTCCCTTTGTGTCCTGGCCAACTATCCCCCAGATAAAATTTGTTATTCGCTTCATGGCAATTTGTGGGATGTTGCTGTGTGCAACATTGGCTGCCGTGTTTGCCTACAAAATACCCAGTTACGACACTTCAAAGTGAAATTTTGTAAAGCATTTTGAGATGGTCAAATGCAAGGATTAATAATAATCATAATAATCCTTGCATTTGATATAGCGATTTTCACGTCTTCCAGACGTCTCAAAGTGCTTCACAGAATAGACTTTAAAGTGAATTGACTGTATATTTGTGGGCGAAATGCGGCAGCCAATTGCGCACAGCAGTGTCCCACAAACTGTTGTGGATTGAAAGGACCAATTTGTTATTTTTTGGAGGGATTATTATCAGGCGTGTGGAGTAAGGAAACTTGTCCAAGGTTTCACCCTGCCGGGAATCGAACCTGGGTCTCTCGCTTGTAAAGCGAATGCTCTAACCACTGAGCTATAGGACTCCACATTTGCTTGTTATAACAATTGCTTGTGAAGCATTTTATCAAAGGCAATGATTATAATTTTTATTATTATTAAAACTGTTCTGTGGCTGGTGAATGTGAAATTATCCTATTAGTGCCATAGATAAAATGCGAGGAGCTTTGCAGTAACTTTGCATCACTTTACAGGGTTACAAGAATGTCATAGAGTTAGAGTTCTCAGTCAGTCAGCTCAATAGTTAGCATTGCCTCTGGGTCAAAAGATTGATGGGTTCAAGTCCCACACCAGGATTGTGGTTATCAGAACATTACCTGGAACCTGGGTTTGTGAACACATTCATATATTCTGAGCTTGATATCCACCTTGATTCTTATGCAGGGATGTAAATAGCTGCTGCACAAAGCCTGACTTTAACTGGTGGAACCATCGCTCAATGGAAAGGGATGTGTATCCAAGCTGTAGGCAGGAAGATGGTGGCAGTGCTCTCACACATGTCATGCTGAGGTGTGTTGTCTACCAGCAAGCTCACAGGAAGTTCCTGGTACCTGCCATCTACCTCGTGAGGGCTCAAACCCAGGCTTGTTGGATGCCAAATGACCAACGACTGACTATCTTCCTGGGGAGGGGGAGAAGATACGGATCTGAGCTGGTGATATGATTGTGTGATTGGTAACAGAACGTCAGAATCGAGGTAACTCTCTGTGGTGTTCTCAGTAAGTCCAGGTCCTGTCACTGCTGATGACAGACCAGCCAGCCTGGTGGAACTCTTGTCTGATTTGGACACTCTTAATCTCTCTCTCTCGCTGTCTCTTCTTTTGCTTTCTACCTTCTCTCAGTACTATATCCAGCTGCTGTGTACAAATGTGTGTAACAAAGGCATTTCTTGCAGTGAAGGCAAATTTCCCCAAGTTGTTTATTTCAGCCATGCAGGGGCCCCAAAAGCAGCAGACTTTAAAATAATTACACAGCAAATACCTCTACGGTTGATTCAGTTTCACCATTGAGCACGTGGACGGAATGATTAGGAACTTTTAACATGGTGGGCGGTTTGCGGAACAGATATACAGTGGGATAAAGTGAGTCAGTATCAGACAGAGTTGCTTTGGTTTGTTAGGGTTGGATGTGCAGCTGCAGCAGTCACCTCACAAGAAGCTAAGACTCCAATGCTTACAGCAGGACAACGCCCTGCATGAAACCTCACACTATCAGGCTTTAATGTTTCAAACAGATTTGTGGCCCTCATTTGTTCCAACGTTTAATGCCAGTACTAAGTTTCAGCGGGCTGCCTGTAGAATCAATGAAATCTACAGTGCAGAAGGAGGCCCTTTAGCTCATTGTGTCTGCTGCAGCTCTCGGAGTAAGGTGTTCATTTGAGTGCGGCTCAGTGGTAGAACTCTCGCCTCTGAGTCCGAAGGTTTATGGGTTGAAGCCCCATGTAGGGACTTGAAATCACATCATCTAAGCTGACACTCCAATAAGCTGCTGGTGGTGCTTTATATTGTTGGAGGTGCCTAGCTGATCAAAAATAAGTGCTCGGTTAACAATCCAGAAAAAAATGGGTCATTCACTTAAAGCATAAAGTATTCACCTGCAAATACACAGCCACCTTGCACAATAGCAATTCCAAGGCAAAGCGCTTTCTGAGATTCTTCACTGTTCTGGGCACGGAAACAAAGGGCGTGGGATGCGAGTCTCGAGGCACTTTTGAACACCAGTGATCTTCTCAACAGGAGTCCTTCGGACGACCTGAAAATATTCGAGCCATTGTTACATTTTATTTTTGGCCCAGGGACAAAGAAAAAAAAGTCTTGCATAAGCCATGGCCACTGGAAGTAGCAAAAGGAACAGAGGTTTGTAAGATAAATATTTGCTCCAGCTAGCAAAGATGCCCTTGGTGAATTCCAAACGCTTTCTAGGAACAGTAAGTAGGCTAACGTCATCCACTAGATATTTTGCTAAGTGCACAGTTGCATCTATTCAATATTTTGTTCCACTTGCAGCTAATTCATTTGGAGGGCTCGCCATTATTTCCTATTTGACTTGGCTTCTGATTTTTGACAGGAGGTGAAATTGCAATCCAAGCCTCATCATGAGGACAGACATTGGAATAAATCATTCCGAGCGCACCCTTTAACTGCTGGTCTGACTGTTCTGGCCTTGATTGTGCTTTTAAGGAGGAACATCTAACAAGACAGTAATTTGCAGGGGGTTGGGCGAAAAGGCAAGTAAAGGGGACTGATAAAAATAATTATAATCCTTGTACAAGTGAGAGGACTCAGGGTTTGATTCCTGTGCAGAGCAAAATTGTAGGCAAGTTTCCTTACTCCGCACGCCTCTGTTTAACTTGCAATAATTTGGAACCCGGTTGTTAGTTGATTTGCGGATTGTTTTCCGAGGGAAATAATCCTCTCCAAAATAATAATAGTAACTTGGTCACTCGATCCAGAAGTTTTTGTGATACACTGCTGGGCACAATTGGCTGCCACGTTTCGCCCACCAAACATACAGTGAATCCGTTTTACAATATATCCTGTAAAGTACTTTGAGACGTCTCAACGACGTGATAAGGCGCTATATCAAACACAAGGATTATTATTATTACATTTGGTATAGCGCCTTTCAAGTCAGGAGAATATCTCAATGTGCCTCACAGGAATTACTGTAAAGTGGAATAACTGTGAGTTTTGTCAGCAAATGTGGAATCAATTTGCTCACAGCAACTTCCCACAAACAGTCATGAAGTGAATAACCAATATTGTATTTAGGGGATTGTTGGCCAGAATCTTCCTTGTCTGTTCGAATAGCCCCTTAGTATTTTTAACGTTCACCTGAACAGACAGACAGGACCTCAGTTTAATGTCTTATGCAAAGGACAGTGCCGTTGACAATGTAGCACACCCCCATCACCTCACGGGGGTTTTAGCCAATACTGTACGAGTTCCAAATCCCGAATGGGGTTTGGACCCACGACTCTCTGAGTCAGAGGCAATCTAAGCCAGGCAGAAAGCTGAATCGATTACTGCTAGAAAGCGCCAACACAAACACAATGGGCCTAAGGACCTTCTTCTGTGATGTAAAGTTCTAGAGTAGCTTCCTTTTGCACAGTGGTGTTTAAAATTGCCAACCTGCCAACCTGCCTGCAATTGTCAATTCAGAAACCGTGCAGGCAAGGGCATGCAGTGGAGGTGCAAAGGGCAGTTGGAGATGTACAGAAAAGTATAGATTCGAGAATCTGAACAAGATAATCCTTATATTTGATACAACACCCTTCGAGTTGGGAGGACATCTCAAATCACTTCACAGGATTTACTGTAAAGTGTAGTGACTGTGCATTTAAGTGTAGGTGAATGTGGCAGCCAGTTTGTGCACAGCGAAGTCCCACAATGTTCATGTCACCGAACCTCTATAGTTATATCTGGTGATGGTTTTATCTCCCGTTCAAAACATCATTTATTATGGAATAAACCCAATAAGTCTTGGACATTGCTCCAAAGGACATACTTTGACACAGAACAGCAACATTTTGGTCTGTATCTGTTGTGGAAGCCCATTAATAACAAATCATACTTCCATTTGATACAGCTTCAAAACATCCCATGGGTATTTGCCGTTAAGATTGTAACTGTGTACAGCCATAATGTGAACAAATTATCAGGGTTTTGTTTGCTGGGAGAAAAATCCCACTTCTCATTTTGAATAACGTTATGGATCTTTAACATACACAGCGAAATCGCTTTCTGATCCATTGATGTTGGCACTTCCTATCATTGTGAAGCAGAATTAATAATAATATAATAATAATAATTCTTGCATTTGATATAGCACCTTATCACAAAATGCTTCACAGAATATATTGTAAAGTGGATGGACTGTGTATTTTGTGGGAGAAACACGGCAACCAGTGTTCAATGAATCGGAGATTGAATGACCCAATATTTTTTTGAGGGCTTATTACTCCCGGAATACTATCCACCAATCAACTGAAAACTGGGCTCCTACTTACTGCTAGGTAAACAGAGGCATGTGGTATAAGGAAATTTGCCTAAGGTTTCGCCCCAGCCTGGGAATCAAACCCGAGTCCTCTCGCTTGTGAGGTGAGTGCTCTAACCACTAAACTTTGGTCTCTGAATTCACCAAGCATTGGATTGTTCACCCATTTAAAAAGGAACATGAGCTGGGCTTAGATTTTCATGAGACAAGTGAGTTTTGGTGGTGCTGTTGCAATAATAATACTATCTTATCTGCATCTCAGACAATGAAAGTACTGCAGTGGAGTATCAGCCAACTGGGGGCTCGGGTCATATCAGTCATTTTCTCCCCAGTTTGCATTTGACATTCCCACTGACTCATGGCTTGACTATTCAGGTGTCATCTCTGCTGACCATCTAGACTAACTCTGAACAGGTAAGAAGTCACCTTATCTGGGAACACCTTCTTGATCTGCCGCTTTCCACTTCATGTTGTAATAATAACAAATGAAGGAGCACTTTTCACATCGGGAGGATATCTCAAAGTCCTTCACAGGATTTACTGTTAAACTGTAGTAACTGTATTTTGTACATGGACACCACAGCCAATTTGCACACAGCAATGTCCCACAAGCAGCCATTGAAGTGAACGACCAATTTTAGTTGAAGGATTGTCGGCATCAGGAGAAACTTCCATCTCTTTTCGAATTGTGCCATCTTCAAATGTCCACCTGAATAGAATGACGGGACAACAACAACAAATTACACTTGTATAGCTCCCTTCACATTGGACAGAGACCTCAGTTTAATGCCTGATCTGAAGGATTGCTCCTCAAACAATGGAGCACCACCTCAGCAATGCCCTGGAGTGTCAGCCTATGATTCCACGTTCCAATGTGGAGCTTGAAACCCACAGATTTCTGACTTGGAGGCAAGAGTGTTACCCACTGAGCCAGGCTCAGGTGTTTCTTAAGCTGTTCCTTGTGTTATTCAGCACAAGAAATGGATTTTGAGAATCGCTACAAATTTTGACCCCAGTGCATTGTAACAGA